CAGCATATTTTCTTTTTGGACATTTAGTATCCCCATACCACCAGATCCCCATACCATCTGCAAACAAGCCTCTTCAATTGAACGCTGCAACATTAAGGCCCAGATCCCCATACCATCTGCAAACAAGCCTCTTCAATTCTACTAGCCTCAACCAACCCACCCGCCCGCCCACCCTAGTTCGCCCTAAATTTATAGCATGCTCCTCCAGCTGTTTAAAATTCTCACTCTGTTACCTTGTCATTCCATCTATATTTAACTAATAGCTGCAACTCTCTGTTTACTTTTTTAGCCATCACTTCCAAATTTCCCCTGCCACCTCTTGTCTCAAATCCCCACTGTATCATTTAGATTGTACGCTCACAGGCTCTAGCTAAGCACTTTGTATAAAAGAGCTTAAATAGGTAGATCTCAGCTTACGGGCAGGGCCCTCTCTACCTTTTGTATTTGTCTGTGTATATTGTACGTTCTCCACTAATTGTACAGCGCTGCGGAATCTGTTGGTGCTTCATAAATACCAGTAATAAATAATTAAATAAATAGGTAAAGTTTTGTTTATGTTTTTGTTTATTATGTGAACTAGATGCTACTGCTTCTACATAATACTAACTTATTCAGCTGTTTACGTTATTTTGTGGTTGCATTCTCTGATGTCTCTCAAGAGAAGTTTGTATTTATCATATCTATATCTTTTATATTACTACTTATGAATTGCCCACATAATCCAGAGCCCATTAGTACAGTAGATGTACTAATGGATAAGTAGAAGAAATAGGACAAGTTGGTTTAGAAAATAATAGCAGGTGATAAAAGGATCTGCTCAAAGACGCTCACATTTTAAGTAGAGTGGGATATAATGGCACGGTAATGAAAAGGTTAAGGTAAATGTAGTTCAAAAATAAAAATATGGTTATTAGATGAATTTACAATAAAATTGGATCTTTATATCATGTAATGCAGCTGAAGAGGAGGAAGTGAAGGGGGTTGGTGAGGTGTGGGAAGTGAAGGAAGAATATGACCTGTTCAACTGATATACCTTCTCGAATAAGTGAGTTTTTAGTTTTTTTTTTTTGAAGGAACAGAGACTCAGAGGGAATGAATCAGTGACATAGCAGCCCTAGAGAATTCATTAAGGTGAGCGTGCGAATATGAACAGAGGATAAAGGCTTGAAAATGGACACTGGGTGTCCTGAACCTGATATTCTTTTCTTAGAATTAAATGTATTTATGGCATGTTGTCAATGAGATCTCAGATGTTATAGAAATGGTTAAAAACGGAGCTGCCTGGATGATGACAGTGCATCCCATTTGATTTTTGCTTAGGTTTGGTTTGATCCAGATGAAGGTTGAGTGATCTGGAGCTCGATGACTTAAGAAGGATTGTGGTAGGGTGGGAGTGAAAACATTTAATTTACTTATTTGCCCAATGATTGCAGGATGGTGTCCACGAGCCATAAAAATAGAATTTGGGGGCAACAGAATGAAGAGGTACCCATAATAAAATTTAAAGGGTTACTCCAAGCATCACAGCCGCTACAGCCTTCTGTAGTTGCTATAATGCTAGCAGTACTTTGGCGCCATACCTTATTAATGGATGTCTCTCTTACATGTGTCCCTATGGGTGCTGAGGCTCCTAGCAATCGCTGGTGATGTTCATCTGGCTTTACAGAGTTGGCCATTTATTGTCTGACAGCATCTGCTTTTCTCTTGTCAATCTAAGTGATTGACCTTCTAAGATAGGGATATTCATTGAATTAACATTCGCTAACCCAGAACGCTTATTCCTGCCTGGATAATTCCCCAATTACACTGCCAGATATGCAGAATTGTATAGTGAAACGCTGCACATTCAAAGTCCAAGCACCATGACCACTCCAAATCACTGAAGTGTTAATGGTATTTGGAGTTACCGTTTAAGTATTTTACTACATATTGGAAAATATTATAAAAATAAGTTAGTCATGAACTTGAAATGACTTATCTATATAAATGTTCCTACCCACTTTCCTTTTGTCCTCATAGATTGCAAGCTCATTTGACTAGAGCCTTCTTCTTCTCTTGTCTCTGGTAATTTTTGTATGTCATTAGCTTGTTGTTAATTATCCACATTGCATAATTGTAAAGTGCTGCGGAATATGTTGGCGCTAAATAAATGCTAATAATAATAATAAATAAAAAGGCAATTATGATAGATTGATCTTTTTTTAATTCCAACACAGACACAGTGCAACAATTACATTGACTCAATTCATTTTAATTAATTACTTAAGATACACTGATCCAGAGATTTGTTAGACCCAGCAGATAGGCTAGATATAGGGCATTGACAAATGCACGACAAACTCACATTGAGATTTATTGCTATTTTATAAGGAGAGGTGAAACTTTTCTAAAGCTCATTATAAGGTCGCGTACAAAAATATCTCACGTAAAAAATTATGTCGTGCAGAACTAATGGCTTTTTAGATTCAAGTGGCTGAATTTATTATAGCAAACTGTACGGTACAGGGAGTGAGGGCTGCAAGAAATGAATAACTCCGTATAACAAAAGTTCAAAAAAATAAATAAATCTAATATTTTTTTTCAAATGTTCAATTTTTTTCAAGTTTTTATGATTTTGTGTCTCTCCACTCTAAATGTAAAGTAGACTTTTTTTTTTAATTGCAAACATTGCTGTTAATAGGAATTTATTGATTGCAAAACCTAACTCAAAAGTTGACAATCTTAGACGAAAACATAATAATTTTTAGTATACTTTAAAAATGTGTCTCATTATAGTTCATATGGTCATATGTTAGAAAAGGAGAGCTGAGCATAATACAGAGATGCTCACTCATACAATAAAGCATAAAATATCTATAAAATACATAAACATAGAGATAACTATACAACAAGCAGAGCTAAGAAAAAAAAGAGATAAAATACAATTAGCTGGGAACAATACAAAGATATCTATACAATACACAGAGCTGGGTAGACTACAGAGAAATAACACACACAGCTGGGCACAATAGGGAAATACCATAACTACCCCACACAGCCAGGATCATTGTAATGGATTACAAAGAGTTGCAGCACATGTCTCTGTTAAATGCTTTAGCTCTCTCTCTGCATAGCCCTCTCTCAGCTGTCCCTCTCATCATCTCATCTTCATTAGTGCTTCTGCTATGATAACTAGCTTTTTATTACATATTGCTGCTGTGATGAAACATGTCTGTTACTCCATTAGCTATCAGCACACAGTGCACCAAAATACTGAGAGTTTCTGATCATGTCAACTACTCCTGACTCACTATTGGCTCCCATCACACAGTGTGCACAGGGTTAAAACAGCAGTATACTGGTAGACTCCTTATTACCTCTGCAGCTGGCAATATCATTAACCAGTAATGGTCAATAGGGATGTGCATGGGCAAAAAATTTGGTTTGGTTCGGCACTTCCAAAATTCTGGACATCGGTTATTCGGGACTTCGGCAATTCGGCACTTCAGTTCAGCACTTACAAAATTCGGGACTTCGGCAATTCGGACTTTGGCAATTCGGGACATCGGCACTTCGGGACTTCGTAAATTCCCTAACCCTAACACCTACCCCTGCCCTTTACCCTAAGCCTACCCCTAACCCTACCTCTAACCCAACCCTACCCCTAACTTTACCTCTAATCCCAACCCTAATCCTATCCCTAACCCTAACCCTAACCTC